AACATACTCTTAATATCAAAATGACATACTTTTATTTAAAAACAAATAATAAACATAGCAAAGAAAACATTCATTTTTATTGTTACATTTATAAATATCTAAAAATTCGAAAACATTTTCGCCTAATTTCTTTTTTAAACACAAATCTCCTCTTTTCCAGTGTCTGTTTACGAAATAAATGTAAACACAATCCATCAATGAACCAATTGTTTCATCACACCAAATACGAGATTACGCGAGAACACAGACAGGCGTGCACAAAATTATTGAAATTTTTATTTTAATTCACAATAAACGCGATAACTTCCCAAATTCTTGCAACCATGAGTGATAGTCAACAGCCAATCACAATGCGAAAAGCCCATTGATCCGACGTTATCATTTCCTTGTTGCCATTCTGTAGTAGAAACTATGGTTTAAAATTAGTTACCAATTCCTTAAAAGATAGAGACCCAAGTTTTAGAGTGATGGATATGAAATTTATCTTTATCGAATTTTCGTAACTTGTTTTTATTATGTTGCTTTCTGTTTCTGAATTTTCAATCTATTTCATTTGCAACCTGCTTCCCAGTTTTTAGTTCGTTTATTCAACTTTACTCTTTGACCTACCAGGCATTAAATGATTGTTCCAGTTTAAATTTTTCATGATCAGTCGTGCTTTTTTCTTTTTTCGCTGAGATAAAAAAAAAATAACCATGTGATGCCGGCTGGTTTCGATTTCAATTGTGAAACTTGTCATCCCACTTCAGCGCGAAATTAATCATTTCTTTTTAGTAACGACCTAAAAACCTCAGGAATTTTAAGCCGTTTCAAACCTGATTGATCTTTCAAGCAAAGATAAACAAAAAGATAAGATAAAGATCGTGAAATATTTTAATTGTTGTGTCTTGTCAAATATGAAAATGAAATTATTTTGTGGAATTGAAGGGTGAAAATTATTTTATTTCCTATCCTTTAAATCGAATTTATTGTTTAATTTTTAATTAATTCTCATAAAATTTGTTTATAGGGGAGCAACTATAACTAAAGTAGTTTTGTTTAATGAAGATGGAGATGTTATTGCTTCAACTGAAGGTCCGTCAACTAATATTTGGGTAAGATAAGTTTACAAAACTGTTCGATTATTGTACGTGTGTTGACTAATTACTTTTTACAAAACTAATAACTGTACTATGACATTGATTTGTCTCGTTTGTAAAACATTACAAAAACTCGTCTGTTGTTTTTAATAGATGAGCTATTAAAACATGATTCTTAAAGTTGTACGCTTGTATTTCACAGTTTTGATGCTGTGGTACTTATGTAATATTTGCATGTTTGACTTTTATAAAATAATAATTTATAATTTAATTTTGTATAGTTTTCATATTTGTATGCTTATAACATTTTATATTATAGGGTAAGTGGCATTGCATAAATTTGACTATTTTATTAACTTATGATGTATAATACTTACAATTGCTGCACCGTAGGCTAATATTTCATTGTTTTAATGGTTGGCAATTTTACAAAAATAGATTAATTTGCTCTCTATTATTTAAATCTATTCTGTTTCTGTCATTTTTGTGTTATTTTATTACTTTTGTTTTGAATTAATTTTAATCTTTTTCAGCACTGTATTTTTGAAATTTAACTACACCTAAATTTTCTTTTGCATTCATAAATTACAGTTATTATTATTTTTTAGTGATATGTTATCCTTGTCCTCTATATGTACACATGTTTAGTGTATACTAGGAAATTTATCTTCATTTTTAAGGTACTTTCTTCTCTTCATTGTGTTAAACCCTTGTCATTAACATGACTCAGAAAGTAAACATATTTTAGTTATGTTTAGCAATAATACTTACAATGTTGAGTTCTTTACAATAAATAGCTGTAGATGAAGCTTTTAAAATCATAAAAAATTTGATTTGTCATCCTCATTCATTTCTTATCATGATTTCCATATATAAGAGGCATGAGCCGTAAGATTAATCAATATGAATTAAAATAGTGTTTGTTTTATCAATAATATTAAACATATACCCTGATATGAAGCTCTGCTAATTACATAATATTGTAATTAACTAACCTTTGAATTATGTAATCAGGGGTCTGTCCAGGCCGAATTTACTACCGTTTAGCGGTACCTTCACAAATTCAATTTTAGGTAAAACGGTAGTTTCACAAATTCAACTTTAGGAAAAACGGTAGTTTCACAAAATACTTTTTCTTAAAATTTTATTTTTGTATCCCTTAAAAAACAATAAATCTATATTTTTACCATGTTTTTGTATTGGTTTTTTAATATAATGTTTAATTTTTCACAAATTATGTCTAAATTTTCACAAAATAGGTACCTTTCAGAAAAACCTAGACAGACCCCTGGTAATGAATTTTTTCAAATTTTTTAGAAAATTTTGCACATTAATTATATGCATTTATGAAACACCCACATAAAATTTACATTTAATATAGATTTATTTGTATCCTAATCATGCTAAACTTTATTATATATTTGTACAGTGCATTAAAAAAGAAACATCGAAAATAGTTTTTGATTAAATAATTATATACTAATATCAGAGCTTATTATATTGTTATACCATACTTATTTTGAAAGCTCTGATTTTGTGAAATTGTCAAAAATCTGCTCATAATTTGTAAAGATAGGGTGCTATTTTTTAAAAAAAAAAAATCACCAACAGGTGATCAGTTCTGACATTTTGTTTAAAGCTCTGTTTTTATAATTTTGTAAAAAATCTAATCATAACCTATTAAATGTAAAATTACTGCGAAATTGATTTTTGATCTTGTAACTTTTTTTTTTATGAAAAGCAACAAAAAAAAAAAAATAATAAAATAAAAAAAATAATAAATAAATAAAGATAAATGTGTCTTTGAAAGAAAAGTTTTAAAATTATGAACTAAAGATGCTACTGACTGAATATTTCATATTTTTATGATGAAATATTATGTAAAGGATCAGTTTTCATTAAAATATTGTGTTAATAAGTTATTTTTTTTTTTGATAAAGTAATTTGTGAAGATTTCATTTGTACATTTTTCATTGCTTTTGATCAAACGATCACTTACTAAGATAAAATCTGTATAGTTCAAGGTTTAGGAGAAAACTTAAAGGTTAGTTACAGTTGCCACCTTCAGGTTGACTACATATATAACACATATTATTAAAAAAAATTTCAGTCATTTGATTGTTTCTTTGTTGGTTTCGTTATACAGTGAAACCTCTCGGTTGCATTAAATTTTACATCATAAAAATTAGCTTTGAAAGAAGAAAAGAGGTTTGCTTGTTTGAGATGTTTTTTTTTTAATAACTTTTTTCTAATTTAACTTTCAACTCTAGAAGTAAATCATTGATAGCATTGTCTTTGCACTCTGATTGCAACATAAAATTGTATCATCAAAAACAGCTCTCTAAATAAGAGCCTCACTTAAATATTTTGGATACATTTTAATCTACTTACGTGTTTTGTTAAATTTTTTGTTTTGATATTTTTCGTGTTTTCTTTTTTGACCTTTTCTGCATCTGGTGCAGATGTTTGCCGGTCACTGAAAGAGGTTTCAATACTTTCTCCTAAAGGTTTTCTTAAACACAAAGTCTACGGAAAAAATTCTGCGTCTCCCAAAATTAGTCTTAAATAGAGGTGGTCTTTCCGGGAGTTTTCACTGTAGTTATATATAAGCGGTAAGTGTCCGGTTTCGTTACAACAACATGGCGAACAGCAAAAGCTGTTTTCTATGTTTCTATTAGCTCAACCCTACACTAACAATAATAACATGTGAATGTAAAGAATTTTAAAATATGAAACCAGAAATTTTAATCAATAGTCTATGCAAGATCAAATTCCATCCAAGTTCACATTTACAGACCATATGTACCATATCACTATATTAACATCCATCTTTCAAAATTATTGGATTGAAAATGGCACGTCTTAAATGAATATGTGACTGTAATGTTTTAGGCAGTGCAAATCTCAAAAAGTAAATTTAAACTTAAAATTTAAATTGGGTCAAAAGGTGATTGACAAAATTAATTGGAAAGTTATTGCAAAAAAGTTAAGCTTTGAAATGTTCCACTTTCAATATACAGTTGGTTTTGTTGTTAGAAATTCTTATCAATCTGATAATTTGAGAAATAATAATGCCTTGACACTAATGCAACTGAAATAGTTTTGCAAATCGATTTCCTCAAATTTAAGATTTTCGCGTTTATCGTATACAGAGATAGTGATACTTTATGTAAATCTAAAAAGTTTCCTGCAATATCATCATCATTAGTTTTAATAAGATTTAAACAATTTGGATAAATTGAATGCAATAAACTTTAAAATTCAAGAAAATTAATGCATAAAATGTCATCACTATATCTGGAACATAAAAAATTGTGATTTATCTCTATATATAATTATTTTTCATGGTAAATTAAAATAGGTTATCCATAGTTGAACTAAAATTTCCTCCCATGGAAATACCATTAATTTGTGAGTAAAAAACAGTCATTATTAATCTAGTTATTATGTAAACAAAATTTTAAAATTCTAAAAATTCATCAAGACAATATTTAATTTGTGCTGAGACAAATTAAACTAAAAGAGAAATTGCTGGTAATAAAACTTCGATAGTAGTAAAAAGATTATCAAAATCAAAGGCGCTTATAGAAGCAATATCATTACAAGTTATTAGTGATTTTATTATTATATTTAAAAAAACCTTTGCGTTCTAATGTTATTGTTAGTGCAGGGTCCAGCCATTAACAACAGCTTTTGCTGTTTGCAATGTTGCTAAAACATAACCGTTCAAAGCTATGTTGTGTTGTTGGTTACTAATGAGTTACAACACTTTTTATCATTTATATATCTTTTTGTATTATTGTATATATAAATATGAAATTCCATAAATATTATTCATTTTAAATAATAATCTCATTCTAATCCTAAAAAAATAAGAATTGCATTTCACTTATGGTACATTTTCAGCATATGCTTATACCTAGAACAAATTTATAATTTAAATAATTTTGTTGTTCGAAATAATTATTAGTGATTTTATTATTATTATTTAATTTTAGTATATTGGCAGTTTCTAATGAATTATTTTTATAAAGTCTGGGTTCTACTCAAATAAGCTTGGTCATTTAGGGTTCCATAGCTAATAAAAATTGAGAAACACTGTTTTAAAATATCTAGAAATTTTTTCACATTCATTTTTTTATTTCTTTTTGTGCATGTAAAACTCATGAACTTTTGGATTATATTGGGGCACTATTGGGATTAATAAAATTGTTATATTTTTCTAGCTTGATGGTGTTGATGTTTGTCATAAAAGACTGTATGACTTAATTGAGAAAGCTAAAAGTCAGGCTACTTTAAGTAAAGAAGTAGTCTTAGATGGACTGGTATGGTATCTGTTCTTTTCTGTTTCATAAAATGATATTTTTAATTTATATGAACTTTTACTCTTAACTGAACTGGGATGTTACGCATTTAAATTCTTTTGTTAATAAAAATTTTCATGTGACTAACAGTGCTGGCCTTTTTTGTACATATTTCTTTTTTTTCTTCTTCTCCTCATCAGAATGCATTATATAAGAGGCAAATTATATGTTGATAAATTCCCATTTTTTTGTACTCATTTAGTGTAACATTAAAATAAATTGATGAGCCATACATTTTATGCTTGTTCGTGTTACTGAAAATTGTTTCTTATCAATATTTGGAATTATTAATTTCGGAATCTATTTTCTCTCCAAAACATGAGTTAAATAAAATTTTTTTCTAAAAATGTTTTTCTTTTTTTATTGAAAATTCCCGTGATAACAGTTTTGAATGCTTAGTGGAATTACAGTTTATGCTCATCAGTACAACCCCTTATTGTAATGACCATCCTAGTATAAGAACTGCTATATACTATTCCATTTGTTATTCCAAGGAAGCAATGCTATTCTAATGGCAATTACGATACTTTAATTAAGAAGTTCATGACAGCAATCAAATTTTTTCCCATTTTTTTTTCTCCATATCTGACAAAATCAATTAGAAAAACTAGTGTAAAACAAGATGCTTCTATAAACAAGTAGTTATTTGATAGCAAAGTAATAAAATAAATTATTTAAGTCATTATTCTTATGAAATATTTTGATTAGGTATTAAACAAATATGAAGCATTTTGTTCGAAAAATGATCAGATGCTTGTTGTGGCGATCATGATTTTTAGTGTAAAATTGTCTGAAATATAGATTACTTAATATATAACCAATTGAGAAAATTGCACTGATCTATGAAAATCAGCAGGATGCATAATGACCTTTGGCAGAATTTTTTCAGACTTTCTGCGACAAATCTCTCTAGCACTCATATCCTTCTGCAAGATAGTTTCAATAATAACAAAAAAGTAAGTTACCAATTTAAATTAAAAAATAAAATGAAAAGAAACACTGTGTTTACAAAAAAGGAAAGAAAAAAAACTTGTAATTATTTTCATTTAATATGTAATATTTTTTTATTTTAATATTATGAGCGATATTATCGCATTTCGTTGGGGGAGAAAACAGCACAAATTCTTTCCAATATCGCATTTTCAAAATCATAACATTAAAAAAAATAATTAAAAATCATGAAACTCTAACTGTAATTACCGGAAAACAAATTGACGACAAAGTCACTCCAATTGGACTCTTCAAAAGGGGTTACTCAAGTTCGTGTTTCGTTTCAAGATTTGGTTGTTGTAATAAATATCAGATTTTAAAAACTATATGGAAGTCTAAAGCAATAATTGCTGAAAAAATGATAGAAGCGTTGCCTTAAAAAGTAAGTACTCGAATGCTTGATTCGAATTTCCCGTATTCTCTGAAATATATCGGAATAATTAAAAACCACATGAAAATCAATATCTGTCAAAAATTTAATTGAACCACTCTATGGATTTACGATACTATGGGTGTAAATTGAGCGCCACAATATGTGATTATTTAAATGCGCAAATTAAACTGCAGAAATGAAAACCAAAATGTTTTTGAATAATATATAAAAATATCGGATTTAAAAACTATGGAGAAATCGATAGCAATAATTGCCAAAAATTCAATAAAATTATTGCCTTAAAAAGTAAACATTCAAATGCAGTATTTAAATTTTCTATATTGTTTGAAATGTGTCGGGATATTTTAAAAACCATGTGAAAATCAATATCAATAACTGCCTAAAATACAGAATTAAATATTACCTGTAAATTTCTGTAGAAAAGAAAGTAATTTTTGTTTTGTTTTTTAATACAAAAATCTTTCTGCTAGAACTCTGTAACGTTCTGCGACAATGTCACCATTTCTCTGTGATTCTGCCACAGGGGCATAATGTACCTATATTATGTATACATATTTGAATTTTGATATTTTTTCTTCTACATTAACTTTAAAAATTTGAATTTTATTCTGATTGAATAATAATGATAGATTTATTTTTTATAATATAATTTGTTAATGTTTCTTATAATAAATCATAATTATCAATACAACACATATACTTTGCAAACTAAATTTAATACTGCAAATATTATTATTAAGTTTAGTTTGTAAGCCAGTTCAATCTTGCAAACCTCCTTTTAAAAATAAACTGTATTTAGTAAACTTAAGATTTACTTGAAAAATTTCTTTCCCCTAACACTTTTATGAGTGTAACATGACTCTCTTTATAGTAAAAAATGTTTTCTTTTTTTGTTATAAAATATGCTTTTTTTTTTTATAAAAATAGTAAACAAATTTAAAAAATTAAACAAAGCCAAACGTGCTTTTTATTTATAAAATCAAACAGAAATACACCTATAGATTTTTGTTAATTTTTTAAAAAATATTGTTACAGATAAATTTATAAAACATGAGAAATTGTTAGCTTTAAGACAATTCATGCATCTTTTTTTTCTCTTTTCAGGGTATGTGCATGAGTGGTTGTGAGGAAGATGAGGCTAATAGAAAGTATGAGCGAGAATTTATGTCAAAATACCCTAATTTAACAAAAAGTTGTACAATTGCTAGTGATACTGTTGGCCCATTATATACTGTCAGTCCTAAGGGTATTCATTTTTTAATAACATTTGTGTATAATTATTCCTTTCTTTTTTATTTACTTGATTTTGATTAATCTAGACTCTGAAATGTAATGCAGAAAGGATTTTTTTAGCAAAATTTTTTTTCTTACACAGTAAGCATTTTCTTCCATATATTATTTAATTCTGGAATTTAGAACGCTGAAATATTCCCTTAATTAATTGATACAGAGTTTCTAGGAGGTCAGGAAAATGTGGAAAACTCAGAATTTGAATGTCAGTAAATTTTAATTTTGGGAAAGTAAATCAGTGAATTGTGCTGAAATAATGCAATTTTTGTCCAAAATCTGGTAAATAACTAATTATAAAAGTGACAAGAGCATTAAGTAATGAAAATTTTGCTTGTAAAAATCCTGCTGCAACATCTTTTTTTATTTTATAAAATTAACAAAATTGGAATAATAGATTTGGGAAGGAGGGATTTAACCATATTTTTAACTGTTAAGTAATGCTAAATTAGTAAAAATTAAGCTTTCTGTCTAAATTAATGTCTGTTCTTAATCATAAGTAAGATATAAGATTTTGAGATTTTCTAAAATTTTTCTAGCTTTGTGCAAAAAATTGCATTTAGCTATAATTTATTTACTTGAGTGTTATAAAATCTAATCTACCTTTGCCTAATAAATTTTTTTAGCAATATTTAATATTCGGCTTTTTTTTTAATATCAAACTGCAAGTTTCATGGCTTATTGACTGAAATGAAAAAAAAAAAAAAACTATATTTCTGCAGAAACATTACCGTTAAAATAGCAAAATCGTAATTATAAATTTTCTTGGAAAGTGTGGGAATTTTATTTCAGAAATTAAGTGGGAACCTTGTTATTAATTTTTTCCCCTGAATTATAGTATTAAGCTACTATAATTAGTTATTTTTTCGCCAAATTGTAGTATCAGTAAGTTTTCCTGAATTGTAATACTTGTATTAGGCAAATATAGTATAGCAATATACTATTTGTTTTTTTATATTTCATATTTTTGAGTTTCGTACTGAATGTGGCTCTAAATTACTTCTACTTATGATTTTTTTCATTGTAGTGTAATAATTCATAAAAATATATCCTTAAAGGTGGAATTGTTCTTATTGCTGGCACTGGATCGAATACATTGCTCATTAATCCAGATGGTACAACAGGACGATGTGGTGGTTGGGGTCATCTCATTGGAGATGAAGCATCTGGTAAAGCTTTTATTTTTATTTAAGTAATAATAGATACCGTAGAAGCCCTGTTGCCCATGACTTGCCTGCGCAGAAGTACTTTGATTTGTATTTTAATTATTTTCAAGAGATTTCTGTGATATTGTCAAAGTTTTTTATATATTGAATTTTAGTAAAAATTTAAAATCTGTCTTGCAGCCATTAAATCACACAAACTATCATAAGTTGAGTTAGAGGCATTTTACCTTAGTAGGTAGCAGAAGTATTAAAATTATTTCAATCTTTGTTGTGAGATAAGATAGAAAACTCATACCAATGCTCCATAACGTGCTGTACAGCATCTTCATGCACTTGCTGTACTACTTCCTCAAGCATTTCTGGAGCAATAGCCTGAATATTATATCATATATAAGCTATTGCTAAAAAAGGGCATGCTACGTCATCAATAATAGATATAACAGTATGTTGTTCCCTAGCACTGCTTATGTTTAAAATCTCTATAGCCATTTTAGAAAACATAAAAAATAAATCTAAATGAATACTTAATGTATAACTAACTTTGAATGCTTCTTAAACTATTACTTAAAACTACCTAACAAAATGAAGGGTAATAAATACTTAGTTGTAACTAATTATTTAACACGACTTAAAATTTTTAAGACAATCTAGTGAAAGAAATCTAAATAAGTACTTAACCTTTAACTAATTATTTAACATTGCTCATATTATTACTTAAGATAACCTTACAAAATGACAAAATTCGCAGTTCTCCAAACAACCTTTAAAGATGAAATATTAAAAAATCCTTCCTTTGTGTGTCTGCAAGGTGATAGAGACCCATTGTCCAAATTTCACGTTTCTGGCTTCAGTAGCTTAGGCTCCGAGATGGAGAATGTCTGTCAATCAGGACATGTCTTTTTACGTGTATAGATAACAAGTTAAAAATTACTGGCCTTCCACTATTAAGACCAAAGAAATTTTATTAGGAAAATACATGTTTCTTCTACTTGAATGAGTGCTATTATACAATAAAAGTTTTTATTAATTTCTGATATCAATAGAGAAAAAAGAAACTTTGCCTTTTTTGACAACTTCAACCCTTCATTTTTTAAAGCAATGTCTGGTCAACTAATTAGTTATCTTTTAATCAAACGAAAAGTTCTGCTACTTATAAAATTCTTGTCTCACACTTCAAAAGAATGTGCTTTTCGTTGACCACTTATCTATTGTGCCCTTTTGTTTTTCCCTTCTTGAACTATTTAAATCAATATTCACTTTCATCAATAAGTTGTACAACTTTTCCTTTTCTTCTTTTTGCAAGACTTATTGTTCAAGCATTTTTGCTGTAGACATATCAGCCTTTCTTAAAAGTTTTCAGTTACATAATTAATCTACATGTGTAGGTAGAAGCAACTTATTCTTGTGTATTTTAAAACAAAATATCGAGAGAAAAAAAACATCTTTTTTTTTTTTTAGTGTATCATGGTCCTGTTCTATTTTGTTGAAAAAATAGTTCATATTTATTTTTATTGCTGTTTTTAAAGTGAATGAGATTAAAGATATAATATTGTTTTCAGCTATGTGGATATCCATGAAAGCTGTGAAAGCAGTTTTTGATGATGAAGATAATTTAAACAAGTCTCCCTATGATGTGGCCAAGGTGAAAGAATTAATGCTGCAGCATTTCGAAGTAGGGAAATAATACTACTTAGGTCATCTACAATTATCCATTGCTTTATATATTACAAAATTAATATTTTTTCATTTTACAAATATATTTATTCTCGAATACATTTTTTTAAGAATATATGTTTATTCATGAATATTTTCATTGTAAAAATTTTTCTTTAAAAATTTAATTCTTGGTTTTTGTGTTTTGCAGCTATGTTCTTATGGTTCACAAACTTGCAAACATTGTGGTTCACTTTTTAGAAATCAAAAACTATAGTGATTAACTTTATTTTGGACACATTGATTTTTTTTTATGCAAATGCTCTTTATAAATGCTTTATTACTAAGAGTATAAGATTTTATAGATGCAGTCTATGCTCTTTAGTATAACTCCCATTACTCTATCATTGTAATGACCAATGCAAAAAAATATATTTTGTTATTCCATAGCCCCAATGTTATTCTAATGTCTATTAGAATGTTCACAGAGAGCCGTTCATTCCAATATAGCAACTGCAGTTTATTTTGTTTAGAAAAAGTTTCAGCAAAATGATTTAAACCTTTACAGACGTGCCAACCTAGCAAAATGAACATTCAGGAGTTTCCCTAACAAGAATTCAGGAGATTTCAGGAGGGGTAAAAAAAGGTGCATGGTATGCAACATTTGGCACTTCTAAGGAATTTTAAGTAAAAAATTTATTAAATATAAGAATGCAAGAAATTTTACACACAAATAGAGCAATAATTGTTTAAAAATATTAAATGGAAATAAAATAATTAAACACAGATTTAGCAACACAAAACTATATTAGGTAGATACTCTTTAAATAAATACCATTTCCTTAATAAAACATTATTCAAAAACCCGACACTGTAATAAAAATACACAAAAACTTTTAAAAAATAAACAAATTGAATAAGTATTTTATTTTAAAAAACCAATTCAATACTAATGTCTGTACAATAAAGAACCAATTATCCGGGATGCTCGGGACCATCGCTATCCCGGATGTCTTAATTTCCCGGTTTCCTGGATCGACAAAAAAGTGTCGTTAATCGATGTTTTATCAAACCCAAATTACAAGGAAAAAATGTAAACACATTTTAAAGTAAGAGAAAAAAGAAAAGCACTCCTAAATCTAAAAAGGAAAAAAATTGTAGAAAAATAAAATTTAAAAGAATAAAAAAATTTGCAAGTTTAGACAAGAAAAACAAGTTTAAAAAATAATTACGATTCCTAAATCAACTAATAAACAAAACCAATGATTAAATAACGCAATATATTTCATGGGGGGGGGGCGAAAATAAAAGGAAAACCTATTAATCTAAATAAAAACAACACTTGAAAATTATCGAACCGAAACGATAGTTAAAAAACGGCACTAGCATAAATATTAAAACCTAGAACAAGGCAAGATCAACGGACTTTAAAAAAAAAAAAANATTGCTTTTTTAAAATTCTCTAGTGAGTATTTTGGTACACTCACACAATATAACGACTTCATATTATAATGTCGGTTTTATTTGGACCACAAGGGTTTTTTATATTGAGCTTCAACTGTGTTATTTAACCTCGAACTTGTGTATTTTTTTGTTGGGGAAAAATTGATTTAATAAGTAAATTATTCAATTTTGGATGTTTCTCATTTAAAGTAACTTCAAAATTTTTTATTTATTGTTTTGATGTTACATAATAAATATTACATAACATGTTTTGATGTTATATAATATTTATTAGTTGATTTATTTTTGAAAATGGAATTTTGCTTATAGAATTAGAAATTAAAAATAACTACTGCTTTATTCCAATGCTCTTTGGTAAATGAAATTTCATTTTTTTCTCAGTCAGTTAATTCTTTTTCCTTTAAATTTTAGATTAGCGATAAATTTGGAATACTGGAGCACTTTTACACCAATTTCAATAAATCTAGATTTGCAGGACTTTGTAAAAAACTGGCTGCTGGTAAATACATTAATAAACAAAGTTTTGATGTTGTATTATTGCGTTTGTGTAAAAGGTTTAATAATTTTTTTATTGTTGATTGAATTGAAATTATAACATTTTACATTGATCTGTGGGACCTATAATAATAAACAACAAATATTTTTGAAATTTTCATTTGGTAATTTTTTTAGTAATTAAATTTTCTTTTAAAATCCCCCGGTTATAAAAGCTATGAAGAAATTAACACATTAAAACATTAAAGCAATAAATTAGAACATTAAAGCATATGTAAAAAAAAAAGAAGAAAAAAAAACTGAATTTTTCAAGTTGTGAAAATGTTCTAAACTACAGAAGCAACTATGATCTGGATAATAATATAGTGATCCCCATTGGTAATTCAGGAGAAGGGTCAAACGATTTAAAGTCATTAATGTTAAGTTTTTCTTTATTTACTATATCTCTAGAACTTTCGTGGTATCTCGAATGCACACATTCTCCATGGGTATTGCTAAATGAGCAACAGCAATCGTCAATGTAGGTTAAGTGACATGCCTTTTCCAATCATCTTCATTGTATTGGTATTTCTGACACTTCTGATTGCCCTCTGTGTTCCACAGGTGATGCTGTGAACTTTTACTTGGCAGTTTGACTCTGAGCAGCAATACTAATTCTCTAATCATTGACAATTTTCGCATGAAGGTTAACTTTGTATTGGAGCTGCTAGAAGGAAAATTTCCTTTGTGGTCAGCTGTTCGGTGTAGGAAGAAAAATATTGCCGGAACTGTTTACTCAAATTTATTGTTTTACTTTATTTTGAATAAGTAACAAATAATTTGGTGTGAATAAATGAAAATCAAAAATAAGTAAAAAAAAGTTTTTTAAAGTTTTGGTTTAATATTATAAAAATTGTTGCCACACCTATTATTTTGATTAAAAAAAAGTATTTCTATTTAAAAGATAAAAGAAATTTTTGTGTCTTATTATATAACTTAATAATGACTATAAATTAATTTAATAAAATCGAATCATGATGTTGCATTACCTGTTAAAAATTATGACGTAATACAGGGCTAAAAAAACAGCCCGTCCGCGACTGTCAAAAATTCTCCGCGGACAACTAATTTCTCGAATCGGACGTCCGCGCGGACGGCCATTTTCCCGTTAATGTTCGTGATACATTTTCAATTTTTGTTATCTTACAAGAGTCTTGTAAGTTACAAGGCAGCAAAATGACCCACAATACAGCAACATACTGCGCATATATTGATGTTTTCTCTGTCTGGGCGTACTGCAGCTGTTAAAAGGGGCTTTGCAGCAATAAATTTACAAAAAAACACAATACGTACTGGTCTTAAACAAGAAGCTTTAAAAGCAATTATGAACATCTACCTAAATGGAAAACCCCTTTCAGATTTCTGTTCAGAAATCTCTGTAAATCATTGGCTTGATTGTGGAACTGGCAAACGTCATATTTGATTCATTTAAAAAACGCAGTACCCTCGAATAACTTGACATTCCAGATAACTTGACCCTTGTCATTTAAATTATTTCATAAAAGAAATACTAGGTTACTATTAGTAACCTAGTATTTCTTTTATTACTGTGTAATGTAATCCTAGTAGCGACTAATTCATTGTGCAATTTATATAAATGTTTGTAATAAATAGGAGAAAATTATATTTTTATTTATTTAAAAGCGATGGGTTAGTTTCAGTGGAGGACGGGTGCATTGTTGAATAAGCCGTCCTCGGGGACGGGTAAAATTTCTGAGTTTTTTCGAGCCCTGACGTAATATAAATTATTAATTATGCTAAAATTTTAAAACATTTAGCCACATTTATATTAATATTTGTGGGGATTAAATGTATTATTTTAACTGCCCTTATTTATTTGAGAAATTAGGCTAAACTTGTATTACTAGTTCTGAGTAAAAACTTGCTAATTGATTATTTATGAAAATTCTTTTAAACTATAGGAAGCTAATTATCATTAATTTTAATGTTAGCTGCTTCTGAAGGAAAAGATCCACTTTGCTGTAATTTGTTCTATGAAGCTGGTGTAGCTTTAGCTAAAATGGTCATAGCACTCAAACCAAAAATTCATGAAGTAAGTAAGAGAATTAGCTTTGAATAGTTATAATGTTAAGTTTGTTCCTTAAAGCTATGCTAAACTAAGCTCTGCTTGTGATCAAATTTTGAAGCTTGGAAGTTTCATGGTTTCTAGAATTTTGTGTTGTGTTGATCGTTTCACTTATCTTTAAACTACCAACTACTAATTATGATAATGTTAGTCTGAAACAAATCAATTTTAAAATGCTTTAAATTAATTTTTTTACACACACAAAATATGCACTCGAGTGTTTATTATTGACAGAACTTTTTGCAGCATTAGAACTAATGACAAACAAATGAATCAATTTCGAATAGCTGAACTTTTGGAATTTTAACCTCTTAACAAATAATGAAACAAATAGTGGGGAAAGTTAGTAGTTCTTACTTAGTTGAGGAATTTTTCTTTGGGCAAATTTCATTGTTTACACCCACAAAGCTAGTGTGGTTTATAGAGAATTGCAGTTTATAGATTTGCATTGTATAGATCTTATTCGGCATACATATTAAAATTATATCTATTAAAACTTAATGCACTTATTTCCAACAAAATCTGACTTATTTGCAACAAAATAGGATTTATAAGATTCTTCAACCCTGGAAAAAACCACACCAGAAGAAATAGGTTTCTTTCAAACCAATTACTAAATTCTCAAATCACCTACTTAACATACACACTACTACTAATTACTAATAGTATACTAATTTTTATAATTAGATACCATCAAGCATGAGCAATCAAATCAACTCGGAAATAATATATGTAGATTTTAGAATTCTGTATGAAACAAAAATAAATACTATGAGAACTGTTTTTTTAAGGAGATATGAAAAACTTTTTAACTTTCTCGTGCTATAGTCAAAAAATTTTTGGAAATATTCAAAAGAATGATTTATGAAATCAGCAGTAGAATTGGAAAAAAAAATATATAGATCTTTTTTATAAATCTTTAAAAATATAAATTTTCTCAGAGAAGAGCAAAAACTTTTTGTTGTTGTTAAAGCAAAGTTTTTCTAGCATTAATTCAAAAAATTTTTTCAATCGAAAAAATTGTGACCATATGGTTTAAGTTAGCAAGGTTTTGAGTGTTTAAATTTAATTTGTTTAAATTTAACCATTCTTATAATACTTGATGCAAATTAATTATTTTTTTTCACTTTCGTCCAATCTCCCTATTTTTTTAAAATTTCTTCCTGTGTCATGGAAGAAATAGGTTTCTTTTGTAGGTAATGTTAATCCTACTTAAAAATTACGATATTCAATGCTGTATGAAAATAATTTCGATTTAAATAAATGATTTTATTTTAATAATCGAAGTGGTTTTTAATCCTGTTAACTCTGTAAAATTATCAACACACTTTTAGAAATGGAAGTTGACTTTATACAAGTAGTTATACTTTACAGGACTCAGAATGATTCTCAAATATGAAATTATTAAAAATCGGCACATTAGGGTTAGCAAAATAATTTTTTAAGTAAGAAAAAAAAATACAAAACAGTAAGCAAAATTTTATGTATCGTTTTTGAAGTCAATTCTAGTAAGGTTAGGATTAAAAACATTAAAACCAGTTTATTTCTCTGATGAAATTAAAAAATATTTTTAATTACTTCTCTTAACATTGATAATAACTTACTCTGACATCTTTCAGTTTTATGAAAGCCATGAATAATTTTAATAGTTTCTTTTTACAAAGATGGACAATTTGTGGATTAATTTATTACATTTTGAAAAGATTAATTTTTTCTCAATTATAAAAAGAATTAACTGTTTTCTATTCACTTTTATTTTTAACAAGGGTTCTAAAAAATTCATTTTAAAGATAATGAGTAGATCACACCTTTACTAAATTTAACGTTAAATAATTTAACGTTTTCCTTAAATAATTAACGTTTAACTAATTTAACGTTTCAAGTGTAATGCTTTGCTTTGTAAATTTTACTTATTTTATCAATTGTTTGAGTTAATGTATAACCTAATTTGTATATTTTTAAAGGTGGCATAGGATGGAAACAAAATAATTAAAAATAAAACCTTTTTTTTTCAGGATTTGTTGAAATGTCAATTTGGTTTACCCATTGTCTGTGTTGGATCTGTCTTCAAAAGTTGGCACTTATTAAAAAATGGTATTTACTCTTCTCAATCTGAAATTATTCAGGGGGACTGTGAATGTTTCTTTACTTTTTGTATAAAAAAGAGAGTTATTAATTATTTTATTAGATTATTTTTTAAAGCAGAGTTTATGCATTAAGTTTAAATTTATTTAATGTGTCATTATTCATAAATTGTTTAATTATAAATAATAGTTAAATTTACAAACAAACAAGATCTGACACCTGAAGCAAAAACGTATCTTAATTTTGTTTAACAGTAGTGGGCAATAAAATTGTATGAAAATTTAAGCACAGATTTGCTTGATTAAAACTTTTTTTAATGAGCTTGCCTCATCTATAATGATTACTTACTGTTCCTTATCTTGAAAGAACATTTGACCGTAAGATGATTCTGCTCTTTAACCCAGTGATAGATGAAATTTGCCTGACATGGGCAAACAAAACTTATTACGTCATCTACAAGATACATCGACTGATTTTGGCAAAATATCTAATATTTAACCTATAAAAATTACATACATATTAAAAATAATTAACAAGTTTTTGTTTTCCTAGAAATAATAGACCTTACTTATGGTATTACATTGTATATTTAAGACAATGATTTTCTTAAAAAAAACCCTATTTTATTTGTTGCACTTCTTTGAATGAGTAAGGATCACTGATGTCATGGTCGCCAATATCAGGAGTACGTCTGACTGAGCTTAGTGTAAACTACGTTTCTATAAACTAGGTGCAGCTTTTAATTTTTAGGGCTGATCTGGCATCTCCTGAAAGTTATAAAGTAACATTCGAGTTACTGCAATTCACTTCTGTTAATGTTTTAGAAACAAGTTTTAAAGCCTTATGGAGTGCTCTTCAATTCCACCGCTTTTACAACCTTGTTTCTTTAGCAAGTGTTTTAACTTAAAAAATAAAAAAGTCTGTAATAGATTTGTCTGAATAATATATTGAAAGATTCATATCCATCAATAAAAACTAAAAATTTTCTTAAGGAACAAAGTTTAAAAGATATCAAAAACGTTAAGAAAACTCAGATATCAATAATAGAGATGACTTAAAAAGTTTTTCGCATACTTACAATGCAAAGTATAGAAGCTGGCAGCTATTTTGAAGTATGTATGGGAACATAATTCACATTTAACCTCTTCAGGACAGGTGATTTGTACAGAATGCATTTGTGACTCGTCTGTTCCGAAGAGGTTTTTATACTTTTAGGAGTTATAAAGATTATTTTTAGGAGTTTTTAGAACTTGCGTTTTTACATATATATATACAGTCGGACTTCTATTTAACGAACTTCCATTTTCAGAATTTCTCTATTTTGCTATTTTTTTTTGCGAGGAACCAAGAACATTCAAGAAATTTCTTCGTAAAATAATTTCCAAATAGCAAATTGAATTTTCTATTTAACGAACTTTTCTTTGAAATCCACTTTCCCTATTTCCCAAAATATATCAGAAAATTTCAAACTTTTTAATGCATTTTATGGGGGAAATTACCTTGAATTGATTTTCAAGGCTGCTTAACTTTTAGAGAAAGCAGTGAATTCTCTTTCAAACAAAAAAATAAGACAAAATTAACAGATTTTATCAGTAGCAATTAAACTTAAGAACGCGTGTGGTAATGTATGTTTAAAATTACTTTTATAATAAATGCAGCTATAATTTTCATAAATTTAGCTTTTTTAAGTTTAAAATGTATGAAGCTGTAACACTGGATAATGTTTTGCTCTATTCTTGCTTTCCATGCAGATTTCTTTTATAGTTAAGATTTATAAAATAAATAGTAGATACTAGTTTACAAGATAAAGCTGTATCAATTACTATCTTAATTATGCCATACCTAGTGTTTATGAATTTAAAACCTCTTTTTTTGTTGTTTAAGTATTTCAAAAGGTGATTTTCTATTTAACGAATTTTCCATATTATTATCGGATTTAGCGACTTCGTTAAATAGAGGGTTCGGTTTTATTTTCTTTTACTTAGTTGTGTAAAAAACTGTAACCCTCTGTATAATTTTTTTTAGTTGTTTGTTTTATCATTTTTCTTTTTTTCAGGATTCATAGACACGATTATTTCACACTATGACAAATTCACTTTAATGACCTTAAATTGCTCATCAGCTCTGGGGGCTGCCTACCTGGGTGCCAAAGCAACAGGATTCTCATTGCCAATCAAACACGAAAAGAACTCTTCCATTTTGTACTCTCATGGTACAAGCTAAGTTTTTTTACTCTAAGGAATAATTGGTTTTATTTGTGAGTGATTTTTGTTGATTTGTTGCTGAAGTATCATTAAATTAAGTACAATCGAATAAATTTTTTAAGTTTTGTTGACTTCTTTTCTGTTGTTTAATGTTAATGTATAAACATGGTGTGTAGCGTTTTTAAAAAGTGCTTATTTTAGATTTCGTTTTTTAAAAGTCCTTAAAGGTGCTTTTAAAAAGTGCTTAATTTTCCCTTTTCAAAAATGAGTTTTTTTATTCAACCACAATCCATTTTAGCGAGCTGTCGGTCCGTAATGATAGTGGCAATCATTCTGCATGTTTGACGAAATACTTGCGAGTTCGCATGAGCGTCTACTGAGCTGGGTTTGGTGAGATTATTGAACTCTCATGTGCAACTCTGCTGCATTTTGCAAGATATTCTCAAGTTTGAAATCAGGTTTCATTTTCCACCCTTTGCTATTGAACCGAAAAGTCTCTTGATCACTTTATAATGGCTAATATAATCAAGAAAAGAGTTCTTTGACAAAAATAGTTATTTTATCATGATCATGTAAAGTCCTTGAAAATTATTTTGCATTTTGTTAATGTATATAGTGCTTAAAAGGTGATTAATTTTTGTTGAAAGATTTGTCAACTCACCCTGATAAATCAACAAAACATTTTATTCATGTGTATCATACAGCAGCATTTTTGGCTAAGGAGTCCTAAATGACTGCAACAATATAAAAAAGAAAGTCCATTATTAGTTGTGAATAGTACACTAACAATAAAAGAAAACTGATTCTTCTCATTATTTTGTAAATATTTAATGTGAAAAATGAAATATTTAACATTATGAATTTGTTCTTGGTATATGCATTTGTAGTGAAAATGAATAAAAATAGTTATAATTATATTATTTTCAAAAACTGTTATAAACAATGAAAAGTCATCAGAGGAAATTAATTATTTGTTCTTGAATTCAGTTATTTTATTTTAAATTTACAAGATTGATGAGAAATACTTATGAAACTTTTTTTATAAATTATAATCATTCTCATAATTCAATATTTTGTTATTGAAAAGAATTGATTTTAAATGTAAAAAAAAAAAATTTTTTTTTGCTTTTTTTTTTTTAAAAAAAAAATTGCTAATTTTTTCAATGACATTTTACATAAATATGTTCATGTAAACAGCTGAAAGATTTAATAAATTATGGATCATCGTTTGGATGTAAAAATAATTGTTGCTGGTTAAAAAAAAAAATTCTAACCTTTGGAACCCCTACAATACTTCCAAGGATTGTGCTCTTCTAATTACCTTACAGTTAAGGAGATTTTGAACAATAGTGCACAACAATTAACACCAGGAAAGTGATATAAATTCCAAAAATAAAGACATGATTCAGCTAGAATCACATTGAGCTATGAATTTTTTTTTTTTCAAATATATTATTTTTCCTGTGATTTTTCAATAGTTGTTAATGAAAGTTAAGTCAAGTTAAATCTATTTTTCGCCAGTGCCCGCCCTGGCGACTCTTAATTCTTAAAATGATGCAAAATGTCAATTTGAAAAAGAAAAAGGCCTAAACAGGGCCCATCAAAATTTGAAAAAAAGTTGAGAATTATTCGATGATTTTGATAATTTTCATTAAGTTAGAAAAATCTCGCCCAATTGGCAAAAATTTCAATTATTTTAAGTTAATTGACTGTTTTTAAGCTCAGATAATTTTTTATGCAAGATAGTATAAGATTCCATGTATCTCGGTATGTATAAGTCGACCCCCTATTTTTGATTATGAGATAGAAAATTTCTGGTATGTCGAGTATACATCCGTTATACTAGAAAGTAAATTGCTGAGGGAAAAAACGTAAAATAAAAAAAAAAAAGTCTAAAAATTTTCTCAAGTTAAAAATATTTCACGCCAAAAACATTTACAAAATCAGAATATTTCTGCTCTGTTGCTTTGGACGTTGTGTGTCAAATGATACTAGACACGTTACAAAAGGTGGATTCAAGCGTTATTATAAAATCTTTTAAAAAGTGTGGAATTTCGAATTCTTGTGGATCACAGCAGATGAGGATGATGTAGAATCCATTGCAGAGTAGAATCCGTAGGACGACATTGCTAACATTGAATCCAACTTTGATGATGTTCCGGAATCTTTAAAATTGTAGCTTCTTGGTATGCTTTAAAAGTTTTCATTATGTTAAATTTTTGAAATACTGTTGAATAAATTCTTGATTTTTTTTTGAACATAAAGCATTTTTTCTAATGAAGTATTTTTCTAATATGTTTAATGAAAGAATAATGCAAAATTAATTTTATATAACAAAATAAAAAGTAGTTTTTAAAAGAGGTAAATCCTTACAGACTAATAAATTTTTTTTTTATCGATCCCATCTCTTGAAATTTTTTCAGTTTATAGGTTGACCTCCTGATCTTAGCAGAATTTTAGTCTTTGGAAAATTTGACGTAGACAACAATATATACGTCAGTATGAAAAAAGTAATTGCTTCGCCGCAGATGTAAAGCATTTAAACTATTGCTTTTTTTTATTTGCTTTGGCGATTGAGCTTTTGAAAAACAGTGTTAAATGAGGTATTCAAATGAAAGCAAATTTACCTATTTTTTTTTTTTTTTACTCTTGAAGAGTAAGTTTTTATAAAAATATTTTCAAAAAGTCAAAGCAATGTAACATCCAGGAGTTTTTCAAGTCAAACATAAGTACTTGTATATTATTTTTGAAATTGATTTTCTTCAATTTTGGGTGATTTATTTATGTAATAAAAATTAATGATTTTAATAAATTTAACTTCCTTTTAACTTAAAGTCATAATTGTGGAGTTTTACCTGCATAAATTGTTAATTTTTGGATTTTTAAATTATTTTGCTTTTCATTTGATTTTATTGTCGATATTACATGAATTTTTTTAAAAATGGGATATGTATAGGATGTATGGGATATGTATATGTCTTTTATTTTTTCAAACAGTTATTCACCGAAAAGCTCGATACATTGCATTTATGTTTCTTACATTTTATTACAATTTAATTATAACCCTCTAATTTTTTATAAATTTTAAGCTTATCTTTCCTAGTTTATATGCTTAGTGTTTCGCCAGGTTTGGACTTAGTTATTATTTTACATCTCTAAACTTATGTTGAACAGGAACTTGTTAATTTTTATGCTACATCTCCAAACAGAATTTTGTTTGTTTTTGTGCTATTTTTCCAAACTGATTTTTAACATACTCTTGTTTGTTTTCAAACAACATCTCCAAACAGATTTTTAATAAAATTTTATTTGTTTTCATGCTACATCTTCAAATTGATTTTAGCAGAATTTTGTTTTCAGGGATGAGATTTTTCCGCTTTTTAGCGGATTTCCTCTTTTTTCACTTTTATCTCTTGAATTTCAGCTTTTTATCAAAAATTCAGATTTTCTAAAAATTTCACTTTTTTTAATAAATATTCCGCTTTTTCTGAAAATTCACCGATTTTCAAAGAGAAACAGAAAATTCAAACTACATAGTTACCAATCCTTCCTCATTTTTACTTATTTTAGCTATTCCCCCCCCCCCTTTTACATGCAGCAAATGAGATTTTCCGCATTTTTACCCGCCCACCAGATAGCTCCGATTTTCGTAGTTCAAACGACGCTGCTTCTGACAAGCCTTTTAGAGGTCCCAAGCCTGGAATCTGCTAATATCCCCATTCTTATTCACACGATTTTAATATTTATTTATTATTTTCCTAACGGCTGGACTTTAACGTTTTTCACCGAGGAAGATGCCAGAAATGTTACTCATTTAACGTTATCCAGTGGGCACATGAGAACCTAAGTCACGGAGGCGAGCGACATTGCCCACGCCACACTGCCACATACCTGTTTTACAGGGCGGGCCACATTCACACAATAGAAAACAAAACACAGAGTGAAACATTCATGCCCTGCGCCGGATTCGAACCAGCAGCCAATGGCTTGCAGTCAGGCACGCTAATTACTCGACCATCGGCCGGCACAATTTTAATATCAAACATAGCTTTTCAGATTTGCGTGATATAAAAGTTGCTTGTTGCGATTCTTATTCACTCGATTTGAATATTGTACGTTGCGATTCTTATATACGAGGTTTAAAAATACGATATTGTGATTTGTATTTACGCCTTTCTAAGACCAATGTAGCGATTCGTATTCACGCGAGTTTTAAATTCAATGTCTTGATTTGCTCATGCGGTTATAATATCAAACATTCATTTTCGTATTTATATGTGATTTAAAAATAAGACATTAAAATTCACATTCTGAAAATTATGCATCATAATTCTTATTTATGCAATATAAAAATTACGCATCATGATTCGTATTTACGCGATCTAAAAATTATGAATCGTGATTTGTATTTACACGTTTTGAAAATTCTATATCCCAGTTTGTATTTTCTCATTTTCAAAATCGTATATTTAGTTTCATATTCATGTGATTTCAAAATCCATAATTGTTATTCATCTTTTCGCAATCTTTCGCATCCATCGCAATTTTAAGATCAACTATCGCGATTCTTGTAAGAAGTAAAAATTTTTTTAAAAATTAGTTACTATAAAGGTGATTGTTTTTCTAACGACGATTATTAGTATCGACATCTGAGAAACTGGAAGGGAATATATTCAAAACTAACATTCTGTGCTTGCAAGGAAGAAAAAGTAGGATTTGTCACAAAATGTTTGAAGATGGTCTAACGACGAAATATAGCAAACATAAAAGATATAGNAATCCGTAGGACGACATTGCTAACATTGAATCCAACTTTGATGATGTTCCGGAATCTTTAAAATTGTAGCTTCTTGGTATGCTTTAAAAGTTTTCATTATGTTAAATTTTTGAAATACTGTTGAATAAATTCTTGATTTTTTTTTTAACATAAAGTATTTTTTCTAATATGTAAAGAAAGTTTAATGAAAGAATAATGCAAAATTAATTTTATATAACAAAATAAAAAGTAGTTTTTAAAAGAGATAAATCCTTACAGAGTTATATATTTTTTTTATCGATCCCATATCTTGAAATTTTTTCAGTATATAAGTTGACCTCCTGATCTTAGCAGAATTTTAGTCTTTGGAAAATTTCACTTAGACAACAATATGTACGCCAGTATGAAAAAAGTCATTGCTTCGCCACTGATGTAAAGCATTTAAACTATGGCTTTTTTTATTTGCTTTGGCGATCGAGCTTTTGTAAAACACTGTTAAAAGAGGTATTCAAATGAAAGCGAATTTACCAGACTATTTTTATTTTACTTTGAAGGGTAAAAATTTTATAAAAATATTTTCAAACATGCAAAGCAATGTAACATCCAGGAATATTTCAAGTCAAACATAAGTACTTGTATATTATTCTCTTAATTAATTTTCTTCAATTTTGGGTGATTTATTTATGTAATAAAAATTAATGATTTTAATAAATTTAACTTCCTTTTAATTTAAAGTCATAATTGTGGAGTTTTACCTGTATAAATTGTTCATTTTTGGATTTATAAATTATTTTGCTTTTCATGAGATTTTATATTGTCTATATTTTATGCATATTTTTAAATGGGATATGTATAGCACTTTTGTTTTTTAAACAGTTATTCACAGAAAAGCTCCCAAACGATGCATTGCATTTATGTTTCTTACATTTTAATTTAATTTAATTATAATCCTCTAATTTTTTTTATCAATTTTAAGTTTATGTTTCTTAGTTTATAAGCTTAGTGCTTCACCAGGTTTGACTTAGTTTTTATTTTGCATCTTCAAACTTATGTTGAATAGGAATTTGTTTTTATACAGCAGCTCCTAACAGATTTTTAATAAAATTTTATTTGTTTTTATGCTACATCTTCAAATTGATTCTAGCAGAATTTTTTTTTCTTCATACTTATCTCCAAATAGAAATGTGCTTGTTTTTATGCTACATTTCCAAATAGATTTTGAATAAAGAATTCAATTAGATTAATTTCAAACTTATCACATTAATCAAAAACTTCGTAATACTTATTCAAATAACTGCAAAAATCTCTAAAACGAATATCTTTTCTATATTGCGAATTTTCAAAAGGAATTCCACGATTTTGTCAGATTCCAGTGAATTTTTATATTAAATGTACATATTAAACTATTCAAGAAGTGGAATTTTGTAAACATTTTTAATTGTTTTTTGATGTAAAGAAAAATCAGCACTCAAAACAGTGATCTTTATATTTTATTTTTTTCAATACTAGAACTCTGATATACAAGACAACATCAAGAAATAAATAGATTTAAAAAAGTGATCTCACTCACATTTGCATAAATTTACATCTTTGATTGACATTTATTTCAACTCACAATCAATTTGAATGAACCAATTACAAATATAATCCATTAAAAAAGTAAAAACAATACCTCACTTCATAAAATTTGGTACTTTTTTTCTTTTAATGGCGCAATTATATTGGGAAGTAAAGCAATATGAGGTTTCCCCCCCCTCTTGTCTGAACAATAAAAAAAGCAATTTAACTTATGTCTAAAGAAAAATTTGGAACACAAAAACAAATTTATTATACAAGACAACATGAAGAAATAATTTAAAGTGATCTCACTAACATTTTGTAAACATTTATATCATTTGATTAAAAATTTTTCAATTCACAATCAATTTGAATGATCTGATTTAAAATATAATGTATAAAAAAGTAAAATTAATTCAGAATATTTGATATTTTTCTCCTTTTGAAGGTGTGAGTATTTTTGTCAAGCAGTTATTTTTTAAAATACATCATTAAAGTTAAATAGCAGCATATAACATAATTTTGGTTAATCAGATTGAAAAAAATGATTATACAATTTTTGAAATATTTGTGCTAGAAATTAGTTACTCTCCCATTCACATTAGAAAATTGCTTAAGTAACATGTATTCAGGCTATTTTTCCCTTCCTATGTTTAAAGCAATTAGGCATGACTTGACTAGAAGAAAAAAAATTGTTACAATTTTTCTTTAAAACTGCAAAAGAATTACAATTTAGGCAGTGAGCGAGAATATACTCTTAAACATAATATTGATAAATTGTAAAAATTGGATAAGTATATTTCAGTAGGGAAAACATAACTATGCAGTAAGAGTTAATGATTATAGTTATAAAACAAAAAAAATTGATTATTCATTAAACATTTCTATTGAAAATATTGCGTCATTTATTGCACAAAGAAGAGGTTTAATTAAGAAAAAGTCTAGTAAAATTTTTTTTTTTAAATTAAAAAATTACTTGCATTTATAAAATTATATGCAAATAATGATTTTTATAATTTTTTCATGCAGATGTAGTTTATTGGAAATAACTTAAAACTAAAAAATAAACTATGTAGAATATTAACATACATTTGGACATGTAACTGTGTAATTTGATACAGTGCATTACAGAATTAAGCTTTTAATATTTATAATAAAATATGATTAAGAATTGAGATTTGTGAGAAGAAAAAAAGAATGAAAATGTCTAGATTTGAAATATAAATTATTATAATTAATAAATTCACTAATTACAATAATACATTATGCATATATAAAATAAAACTTCATATAAACTGATTTAAAGAACACAACTATCTATCACTTAGATTATGATTATAAACAGAATTGATATTCATATAAATATATTAGTGACAAAGTACATGGATTTTAAAAACAATTATAACTTATTCAAATAAATTATAATTATCCTACAGTTAATAATTTAAAAATAGTGACGTTAAACAAACAACTAATTACTAGTTCTATACATCGTAAAAGGAATTTAAAAAAATTTCACAAAAATGTCAATGCCAATTAGTTACAATTTTACTATAGTTTCAATTTAGAGTGAATGATCAAGATTACGATGTAAATGAATTTCAGGTATTATGAATTTCATATTTACACATTAATGTGATAACCATATAAGTGTAGAACTAGTGTTGTGTAAAATTAACAAATGCCTACTGTTATAGTTAAAGCATTTTTTTTTCCTTACTTAACAGCAGTATTTTTAGTTTGAAATATCAGTAGCAAATCAAGCTTAATTTTTTTGTTTACAAAATTTTTTAATTTTGTTTATGAAATAATGTATGTAATAATGTATTTGTATTCTAATATTTAAATGTTATCTTTCGGTTTTAGCCTTTTTAAAATGCAACAATTAAAAGTTTCCAGAAGGAAAATTAATAAAAGAAAAGAGTTGCTGTTTGCCTTGAGAATAAATAAACATAGCAACATATTCAAAGTTAAAGTAGTTATTTTTTATAATTTATTGCTTAATAATTATTGCCAAAAAGAATAGATAAATTTTATAGATGATTTCTCTGTTCGTAGATAGACACGTTTCGGGTACTTTCCTTGTAAGAAATCAATTATTTTCTAATAGTTCAGAAACACATGTATTTTCTCGTACACACTGTACAGCAAGAATGTCTAACTCTTTCAGAAAACTTTGTCATGCAATTTATCACGTTTGTTCACGTATACACGTGAGACTGCTTATTAGCAGACTTATATGTAACAATATCCAATTTGGGGAAAAGTTACAAATTTCCAAACAAATAACTGAAATCAGTTTTGAGCAAATATTAAATGTTGTGAGAGATGTAAGTATCTGCTGCTACGTCAGATACTTTTGTCCAATATAATTAAAGTTAGAGATCACATGTACGGTAGATGCCTTGCTATCTAAAAACCCTCTTAAATTAAAGGGTTGGTAAAGGTATCAGGAACTAAAAATTATTACTTGTTCTAATTTAATCGCACGCCTGCAGCATTAAGTAAAGTAATAGTTCGATAAAACTCGAACTATAGTCAGTTTTTTCTTCTCCTTTCTGCAATAGCTGTAAAGTTCTGATCATGAGGAACTCTGCATTGTCATGTGGTAAGCCAATCAGTTTTATACAACATGGCACTCGTGTAGTTACGATATTTCAATATCTCGATTTAAAATAATGCTTACAGCTTCTGCAGATCCGAATTTCTAGGTGGCTATTGTCAGAAACAGCCTCACTAAACAGAGGCACACATGAAGGAAATCCTGAAAGAATTCAGAATGTTGATCTTCAATAAATATACATTTGTGACTCGAAGAATACCGATGATCTATGTCGGCATGATGCTGATTTTAAGCAGCAGCATGTCCCAAATCATCGTCATCTTCGTTTATTACTCCCACTGAATATTTCTTAAGCAAGTCTAGGGGTGGTAGCGGTCTTTTGGGCCACACTTTAGGTTTCTTCAGATTTGTGGCCTCTTTCCAAAGTTTTTCCATCTTGACAATGTAAGGATATATGTTTTGTTCGATCCATTCAGCAACTGTATATTCGTCAAAAACTTCGCGAAGCGCATCTCTTGCTGTTCGTACGAGAGAAGTGAGTGGGTAATAAACAGAAGAATAATCAGCAAGACCTTCATCAACTCTCATTGGACTAGAAATGTTGTGGCGCACATTGTATTCTGTCATCCAAGCTTTGTGTATTGTGACATCATACAGATAATCGTCCACCCGTTTGACAGCTTCACTGTGATGCTGTGTCATCCGGAAGACGGCGGACCCAGGAAAGAAGCAGGAGGAAGCTCTCTGCCACAAGTGTGGGTCAGTTTCAAAGTCAACTTGCACTCTTTGGTGCACGGTGCACTGAAGAATATTGTGGAATTTGGTGAACAGAGTTTGGCTGAAATAACCTTGTGTGACAGTAAGGAGGTCAATGATCAGAGATGGTAAACCTGAAGGGAAGAGTTCACATAATGTCGCCAAGTGGTCATATCGTTGCCATCCAGTAATAACAATTCCTCTAAAGTTGCTGAATTTCTTGTGCTGTTCGGCCATCACTTCGAGCCAAGCTTCATTGTTCTCTAAATGCATTTTCACATTTGGCACCGTAAGAGTTTCACCAAATGCTCCTTTAAAAGCACTCGCTGCCCAAACGAAAGGAAATACTTCGCTGTACGACATCCATACATTGTACGGCACAAATCTGTAAACGTCCTTGACGTACGTCCAAACCATGGGTTCAACCAGTGTCCCTAATTGGAATTCTTTCAGCTTTTCAGTGGGCATTTGCCGTAACATATCATCCCAAACAATAGGTATAACCTAAAATATAATAAAGTAACTTCATTAGATAAAAAGTAATATTGATTAAACTACTAGTTACACACAATTGATTAGACCACTACCCTGCAATAAAATTAAAAAAAATCAGGCCCTGGCACCACTTTTCTTAGGGATCTTCCAAATTTCTAATAATCTCTTGAAAAGTAAATCTCCCTAACTTTTTTGCAAGGGCTTTGGAATTCCATTTCGCTTTTAGCCTAACTATACATGTCATCTTTTCGTTTTGCGATGTAGTGAAGTTAATTGTTAATCAAAAACATACATGTTTGCCTAAATTTTGTTCAAAACCTAAACAAATACCAATTTTGCCATATATATATAATAAATACCAAGTGTGCTCCAATAGGGTTTGTTACATAGCAGAAACGGTTAAACCTCTTTTCTAGATTTGAATAACAAAAGAAGTTGAGGCAAATGCTATAAGACCATTAAGAGACTTTTGAAGCCATTAAGAGACTTTACTTCACTTACCTGTTTAGTGTTACCTGTACCTTTACAGATATGAACCAATAGAAATATGTTTTGAGTGGCATGCGAATGAAAATTGTCTAATAGGAATCGAATGCAAACATTGATTGATTTATTCCAATCAGTGACATAGTTCAGAGTCTGCCTTGGCGATGAATTTTTTTATTATTTGAAGAAAAAAAACGGCGATGGCCGGGATAGTCTGGTTGGTAGGGTGTTGGGCCCATGTCCAAGGGGTTGTGAGTTTGATTTCTGCCAGCTGAAGATTCTGCACAGGTGAACGTCATATCTGTCCGGTCATAAAGTCCTCCCTGATTCCATAAGCCCCTGGGGGTACTGAATTGGAGATTGATCATTATCTGGCTCAGGTCAAAATTACGATCTGTGGATGAATGAATGGATCCATCCTATAAACAGGCAGTGACATGTGTGATTGAAGTCTTATTCTCGACTATAGATGGAGCCACTGAAAAACAAGAACGCACCCTCTGCCTAAAATTAGCTCGGTTTCACCAAGCATGGTTTTGATATTAGGAAGTGACATTAGAAACAACAACAGAAAAAGGGTGAGCTAAAAGCTTAAAATAGGTAGAAAAATAATTGAAATTTTTTTTCAATTTAAGGGAAAAATGCCCCTTTAATTCCTTCTTGGTACAAATGTTTATGTATGTTCGAGAGGTTTCTCAGAAAAATATTGTGGTTAAAATAATCTTGTCCCAGCCAAATTTACATAACATATCATTAAAATTTTTGCCACTCGAGCTTCGATGGCAAGCCTTGGAGTGTTCTTTTAACAAACTCAGCTTTTATTTCTGACCACCCGCGAACAGTTGCGGTTGCAGCTTTTAGACTATGGCCAATTGACTGTCTACAGAATCATTTATTTCTCATTGGACTTGCCGATTCACCTTTGTAATATGTGATAGTGGACGACCAATGACGGCAGAACATTTGGACGAGTGTGAAGCACTGACAGATTTTTCTTGTATATTTCAACGCTATTGGCAAGCAAGAAGTTTAATGGCTTAACGGCTAATGTAACTGGCATTTGACAAATAAAAAAAAATGTCATTAAAATTATTAGTGAGTTATGTCCATAAAGGGAGGGGTCTTCTAGTGCAAATGATGGGTGATGGAAAAAAACAGAGGTTCTATTCGAATTCAGGAGATCATCATGCATAAGAATCATCAACAATGGAGTCGAGGGCTGATATTTCGTAATAATAATGACCAATACATAACAATGATTTCTACTAAGATAGATTATGTGTAAACATTTTAGGTTGGGCATTACAACACATGCTGTTCCTAAACAGGCTGCCATTAATGTGGAATTTTAGAATATTTACCAAAAAATAAATACATATTAAGAGCTTTAAATTAGTGAAGTGAGGGAAAAAAGAAACACTTTTAACATCTGAAGAATAATTAATAAGAAAGGTGGGATGAAAAACAACAAATATTCAGTTTGATTGCCTGATAAAAGGTGATTATAAGAAACAACTTCAACTTACAAGTCGTTCTCTTTTTTTTATATTTCCACTAGCAATCAAACAGGTTCTGATGTTTCTGTCTCGCCTTTTGCAGTAGTGTTTCGCTAGATTTCAATATCGTTATTATTTTTTGTTTCCTGGCTTAAAATATTTACAACTCTTGATGTGAGTAATTTTTTGTCATTTTTAGAAAATTGTTTAAAAATATGTATTAAAGACAAACATAACGGACCACCTCTACATAATAAAATTTTGAACCCCTTTTACCTCTTTCACAGTGGTTATCAACTGGCGGCCCGCGAAGCCAAATGACAACTAATATATTTTAGTATGCGGGCCGGATGTGGCCCGCGGGCCGCCAGTTGGTAACCACTGCTCTATAAGATATATTCATTGTGTTATCGATTGGTTAAAAGATCATCACATAAACTATGTTAAGACTTCAAATAAAAACTTCATTCAGAAATAATTATTGAAAACAGAATTCTTTTAAAACTAATAAGATACAAATATCTTTCTTTTTAATATTTATTTTTTAATGGGGAATTTATGAACAATATAGTAAATCTACCAATACGTTTCCTTTTTCGTAATAAAATTTCCTGGCGATAATATCAAAATAAATAAAAATTACGCCATAAAATTAAAAAACAAACTATTGTTTCAATTACAGATTTCTCAGTCTCTCCCCCCCCCTCGATGATTTATATAATCAAAACAACTTCATTCTGCAGTTTTTGTATTTTTTCTTTGCTAAACCATTCAGAAGAACAAATTCGATTAAGATAAAATAGATTCCAGATCGAATAAAAAAAAAATCTATCGTTATTATTACGACGTATTGTAGAAAATGATAATAGAAGATAAAAGATCGTTTTAAGAAATAGCTCTAGAAGGACATGCAAATTCATATCTTCAAAAGTCAACGTACTCGGTTAAAAGTTCAATTACTACNCCCCCCCCCCCAATAACTGATCGATATCTATTTTCTACGAAACTATAACGAACTATAGATTTTTATACCAGGCATAACAGAGAGAAGAATAAGGATCACATGACAGGAAAACGACAGGAGAAAATCAATTTATGACGATGAAAATTGACAAAACTGAAATGTTTATGGCGTTGAAATAAACATAAAAAAAAGCGTCTTTTACATCGAGTTGATTGGCCGAGAACAGCGGTCGGATGTAGCGCACTACAAATAGTGAAACTACTGTAGTCGCTTTTTTTCGTAGTTAGTAGTGTAGTGTAGTGCGATACAAAAAAAAAAAATTAAAANCTTAAAAAAAAAAAAAAAAAAAAAAAATCTAGCTAATAGCGATTTCTGGTAACTACTTTTAATGTTAGTTTAGAAGATAAACACGATTTTTACTTCATAAATTTTTCGAATTTGATGGGTCAGCAACAGATATTAGGGAGATTTCGCACTTCTGTACGTAAGATTAGAAGAAACTGCGTGCTCGCGTTTATTTTAGATGCTACGTATCTTTACGTTTAGGTTGGCGTGATTCAGGGCTAAAGACAATAGAAGGGCTGGTTCACTCCTTTGAAGTATCTCTTGCCGCGCCGATCCTCCGACGTCACTTTGGTGCAAAGTTCGCACCTTTACTTCAAGAACGAAGCGTTTGGCCTTTCTAGCTCTAACTAATATTGGATCATTTCTTTTTGCGAGATATTCTAAGACATTTGTTATTTTCTATAATGACTTTCCTCAGTTTTTGCAGTGAATTTACAAGAATTTAAAACTATTATCGAAATGCCAGTTTGCGCGATTGCAACTTGAAAAAATTCTGATACAAAAACAAAAGGAAAAAGTATAATTTTTCGCGTGTTCCCTAAAGTAAATGAACAACTATGTAAAGAATGGATTCCGAAATGACACAGTTAATATAAAACCGCAATACGTTTATTCTGTCGTAAAGAACTTTTATAAAAATTCATTATCTAAATAGAAACCGCCTCGCTACTTCATAAAGAAAGNAAAGTGTAACTTCTTTTTACAGAGAGAAAGATGCAAAGTTATCATAATATCTTTGCTTGCGATCTCCGAGATCTGTGGACACAGTGACGTCATGAGGAGGGAAATCGTAGCTTCAAGCTTCAGCTCTAAGAGCGGAGTGAACTAGCCCTTCTATTCTCTTTAGCCCTGGGCGTGATTAACGTTACAAAGACAGAGCTATAAGCACGCTGTTTCTAGCTTTTAATTGTTTTCTGTTTAAGCCTACTTTCGAACTTAAAACATAGACATGGAAAGCGAATTTGAAGAAATATATTGATGAAATTTAGAAATACATCGTGTAATATTATAATTGGTTGAACGAAGAGATCGTCTACGTCAATTGTAAATGTTCGTTTTGATTTTTTAGTCTAAGTTAAAACGATATTCCACTACTTAAGCGTTTTTAACTTATGGATTTTTGAGAAATCTCTTGTTTTCACTTAGTACGTCAATTTGATATTTTTTCACGGGAGTATGCAAATTTCATCAGAAGTGAAGTGCGCATGCGCAATTGCTTAAAATCTTGCGTACGGGAGTTAACGAAAATTTGCAAAATCTCCTTATTACGTATTTAAAATCACGTATAACTACTATTGTAATTAACCATTACGAAAATTTATAATCAATCATTTTGGTAACACTTTCACATGCGAAAGCACACTCGTTAAACATTTATGTTATTTCAAAAGAAGGGAACATATTTTGGATGTACTTCATTTTCTAGAGGAAATAAAAGAGTATTATTATCAAGTATTTGATAATTTTGCGTTTCTTAAATTAAATATTCGCTGTCGAAAAAGGCATGAAAAATTGAAGGTTAAATGTAAAAATTCGAATTAAAAAAATATTTCGGAATAACAACATGGCTCATATAAATATAAATAAATATTTCTAATTCAAAACCGTTTTAAACATATGTGTAAATTAAGTTCTCCAGCTAAGTTCGCCTTCTGAATCAATTCAGACGAACATTTTTATCACATTTTCATATTAAAACAATTAGGTTTCATTATTACCACTTTTTCTCCAAATTTATATTTTTAACAAGAAAATTCAGTCGATTTTAAGAACTTTTATTCTCAGAATTTCGAGCTTCAATGAGTTTTTCAGTTTTTCCACTTAAAATAAATGCCAATCAGCCATAAATTCCTGTTTAACGAATAAATATCGTACTATTTTTCAACAGAAAAAAAGAAAATAAGTTTATCCTGGAATGGGAACTGAAAACATACCTACCTTAGCAGGATGAAATTTCTCTCCATAAAGTGGAAAAAAGAATATTTCTAGAATCAAGGAGATTGTTTAACATTACACACTTCAAAATTTCAAATTAATTGATGTGTAAACTATTCGCTGAATTTTCAAGTTCTGAATTAAAAAAGAGTGCAATTCCTAATGATGGGTTTTTGCATATTTGATTAAGGTAAGAGCAGACATTTTTTTTTTTTGATCATCGATTTTAGAAATAGCGTCTGTTTAACGAATGCTGTTTTCGATCCCGGAGAATTTGTTAAATTGGCGTCTAAGAATAACGTCACTTCACTTCACTGAAAATTCACCAACCAATCACTAGTAACAGTCAACAGGAATAAGTTTTTATTTGAATAGTAATCATCCATTAGGAATAGTGTAAACAACTGGTTGCCCTTTACAACCAATTACGGCTATTAGATAAACTACTTCGCAGGTAAATCGAGGCGTTTATCGATTCAGAAGCCAATAAGGTTCGACACACGCGTGACGTCGCTTACAGATATTCGATTAAATTAGATTTAAATCACGTGGTTAGGCATAATCACTTCACTTCAAGTACCCAATTAATTGAATTATGCTATTAAAAATTACATAGTTCAGCCTCTGGTTTGGACATTTCTATAGTTGGATTACAATTTACAGCATAGTCTAAAAATAAATTATGGAGGCAAAAATACTTGAAATGATAAACAAATGGCATATCACATACCTTATGTTTGTCTCTCACATAACGAGCAACTCTCGCCACGTGGGACAAAAAGAGATTATCTCGATCCAACCTCATGCACTTGCTGCAGTATCCAAGGTGGTAAACTTCATCACATCCCACGTGCAACCACCTTATGTTCGGATGCAAAGCCATCACCTGATCAATGATGTGCTCCACCAAGTTGAAGGACTCATTCCTCGAAGGACAGATGGCCTGAGGAAAGTCATCCACCTCTCTCAGGTCCCGAAACTCCTTCAGTTTCAGCACAAATTCCAGATGACCAAAGGTCTGAACAAGTGGAATGACCTCAAAGTGGTGTGTTTTGGCCAGGTTCAATATGGTCTGGATATCCTCTTTGGAATAGGCATTCTTGGCGGAGACTGGCGCCAAGGGACCAGTAAATGGAAACATATCCTCGTATTCGAGTAGGATAGCATTGGCGCCAGCTTCTTTCAGAACAGGGAAAATTTGCTTGAAGTAAGACACTTTAGGTGGCGCCCCTTTCAGATCAAAATGGACCACTCTCAGAGCGGGTATATAGTAATTGTTGCCACCGTTTCCGTTGTTTTGCCAGGTTTTACTTTGTTGCTGGTCCTGCCAATTGTTGTTGGATGGGTTATTAGGCACTGCTTTGCCATCCCCGTACACTTGAATTCGATTGTTGTCTGGTGAGCCGACGTAGTTGATCGCTCTGGGATCTCCGCCAGATTGCTGTTGCTGATATCTGTAAAATTATACATATTTGTAAACTTATTTACAATGACATACAATACAAAAAAAAATACAACGATTTAAATGGTGGCATAAGTCTTTGAGAAACAACATAATCCGAATGAAACTTTTAGTTGAAAAAAAAAAGTAATACTTGAGCTCATTGTGTTTGAATTTTAAATTGTGCAGTTTAATGTCCCAGTAGACTCGCAAGACTATGCTGCCTATAGTTATACTAAAAAATTGCAATAATATATACTTAAGTTAACGAAGACAAATGGTACTGAAAATTGAACGACTCAAAAGCAAAAAGGAGAATAACGAGAGAAAAAAGTAAGTTAATAAAACAAGGAAAGCAAGTCCCAAAGCACCCTGTATTTATTTATTCAGAATGTTAACTCAAATGCGAGGATCGCAATTATTGAGCGATAAGCCCGAATACCGTACATGTTTGCAATGTAATTGTAGTACTTTTTTACACAAGGTTTTAAAGAATCCTCCATACATATATTTCATACATGTCACCATGACTTGTAACTTCAACACCCGAGGGAAACATTTTAGTTGAGAGAACACTGTTAGAAATTTTGAGGTGTGCTGTGTCAAATTTATTGCAACCTTAATATGGTGCTAAAATGAAGCATATTATCATACTTCTTGAGTTTGGTTCAACTTGAATAGAAATATATTTCAATTTACCATCAATAGTAAATTCAAACTTTATTATGGATCAAAACATAAATAATACGATTCAGTGTTGAAAATATTTGTTTTTATACAAAATAATTTTTATTCAAAGTTCCCAAAACCGATGATTTCAATAACACCAAACTTACCTCGGTGGTTTTCCACTCATGTCCACTAACTGACCAGGCTTGACGATGCCCACACCAATGGAGTTCTGATCCTGTCTCTGATTAAGGGCAGAAAGATTTCTTCTCGGTATCAGAGTTTTGTGACTACCACCTACGCCCACCATGCCCAGAGGGATTTCGTCTCTGCTCCGAGAATCTGGCAGTCCATTGGCCACCAAATGACCATTGTTTGCGTTGGAGCTGAACTGTAGGCACACTACAAAAACGGACATGATCATGACACAACCCAGGAGAAGGCTCTTCCGCCTCCAGAGGGACACCAGCACATGCTGCGGGCAGTGTCGAGCAGCTTGCACCAACATCTTTTCACAGGTGGATGGCCTCCTGGCCTATTTATAAAATCTAGAAAGAAAGAAAAAGCATATAAGTTAGCATTTCCAAAAAATATTACTTTATAAAAAGTTAGTAATGGAATTGATAAAAATAATATTTTATAATTATAGCTTCAGTGACAAACAGACAAATGTTTCACAAAAAAAAAAAAAAAAAAAAAAAATGCTGGTTCGGTTTAAATATAAGCAGTTAAAGGGGGGAAGGGGTTTGTGATTTCTTTATTTCTGTTGACAAGGGGGGAAGGAGGGGTATGAGCAATGCTTACGTACCATTAAAATCCCCTAAATTTCACACTTTTCTTAAAAACTAAAATTAAGTGCGTAACAAAAACATTACCCATGGAAAAACTTCAAATTTGGAATAAAAGTTGAATTCGGGGAAAAAAAATTGGGACAAAATTTTTTCGAGGAGTTTCATAGGTCAAGAGCTTTAAACACAAAGATTCCCTCCTTAAGAATATTAGACTGAAAATTTTCTAAAATGAATTAAAACGTTGACCTTGTTTAATGCAGAATTGCACCGTTAATTGGAATTTAATCCGAAAACTGAATAACTATAGTAAAAGTTAAAATAACGTAAGCATGGGAGAGGGTTTGTGAATTGCTTATTTTGACTGACAAAGGGGGAAGGGAAGTCCAAAATTATAACGAAATTTCAAAAATATGCTTACGTAATATTAGAACGGTACCAATGGGTCGGGGACAAAATACCGGCATTGCAAAGCTGTTAACTTACACGCGCGTGGTTGCTTTATTCATCTCCGACCATACGGACTACTTTCAGAAACTGATTTTTTCTTCTTGCCAAGTTTCGTACAGTACTCGAAAAGCTCGTAGTGGACATTTTTCCAATGATATAAACAACTTTTAGTAATGACTGTTTTGGGAATGCCAAGTCTAAAGACAATTTATGAAAGCCGATATCCATGAAGAGGTCAGTAATGAAGGTCGCGCTAGAAGGCCATGGGAGACCTCCATCGACGACAATTCAAAGAGTGTGACTGAATTCTAGAACTCAATTTTTTTTGAGCCTTCATTTAAAGGCGAAAATTCAAAAATAGTGTGCATCGCGAACGATTAGAAACTTCAGTATAACAACGAGTCTTGCATATCAGCCTTCTTTATGACCCGATTCCTGACCTATTCTCAGAATTCAGAGATTTTCCAGCGGCTCCAAGGTGTGGACATGGCTTTTCCCACAGTTAGAAAGAAAGGATCTACCGAGAAACCATTCATGCCTGGACACCTTGCTGGAACCGATCTATAGACAAAGGAGAACATCTATTTTAAAACTTTTAATGTGCTGCACCCATCGGATCAATACATTAATCGACTCAGTAATATTACTTTCCAGTCAAACCTTGTACGCAAACAGACGGTTCTAAATAAGAACCAAAGACAATTATTCAGAATAACCACTTCATCATGTTCGAAATGAGTACTAAAAACAAGAACGAAGCACTTTCGTCTATAAGCACATTCATGAAACGTGCACTCGAAGAGACGTGACAAGCCCTGAAAATTGGAAGGTAATAAGAGAATGCCAGCTGTGCCCAGAAAAGAAAATCAGCATAATATATTCCGTCAGCGGTAACGTCGTGATACAATCGGAAACGAAAGCAAAGCAAAACAAAGATCTTAATAACGAATCCTCCCTTTTCAGCACGGGGAGACTGAGAAAATGAAAAGAACGGATTCGGGGGGTTCTTTGTTATGGATTTATACAAATTGGATTTCGTATGCAGGTGGAATTATTCCTTGAAGAAATCGGAGACTGACATTAGAAGAGATGGGAAGACACAGTGCAAGTCATTTTTCTTCAATATTACTGGGTCGAGTAAATAATATTAAAAAATATAATGTATAATCTTGTTTATTTTGGAAACAGTTTGGGTAAATTGGACATGAAGGGTGAAATTTAAATATAAACAGCATGTCTAGAAAATATGACAAATTTTGAAAAGGAAAACACAAAAGCAGATGGGAATTAGCAGAAATGGGTGATACAGAAGAGTCTAGATTTTTCTTTTAAGGGATCGATTTTAACCACAGAATATTAAGGATACCGTAGGATGAAGCCTTTTATGACATTCCACCAATATACAAACGAAAAAGATAAAATATGCGGGTATAACTTCCAAGGGTTAGTCGATTAACACTTGAATATGATCTGATTTGCATGCGCATTTAATGTGTTTCAGAGTAACACCTATACTGGCAATGTACTTTTGTACTTGGATGTAAAAGATACATAAATAACTTTTAAAATAATTTTTAATTCTGAAGCTTTCTTAATTATTCCGACATCCTAGTATTTGTTTCCTGTAGCAAATTTTTTTGTCGTGGACATGACTCCGTCAATACGGTTACGCATTTGTAAATTTGCGTATAATTGTGTGAATATTAAGTTATGAGGCTAACTATCTCAAACGGATCCTAAATAAACAATTTAATTAGAAAATTTGTTAGAAAGCAGCGGAAATTGAAAGCAATTTAGAGTAAGGTATTTCTTATGGAACACTCAGTTTGGCGAAATTTTTGCGAACTTAGCAATCATCTTGGCGACCATTTTATCAGCAAAATGACAGTACTGAAATTATTACGAGAATCGTTTGGTAACAGGGTTTTGTCGCCAAGTCTATATAAATAGGAGTGTGCCTCACAGAGAGATTCCCCTAATTGACTATTAATTGCTTTTTAACATTATCAGATACATATTAAGTTTTTCATGGATTTTTTTTTTATTAATTATATCTATTTTACTCTTAATTTACATGAATTGTGCAACACAATATGCTACTTCAGCAGTCAACTGCCTCATATATCTTCAACTTTTCTATGCCAACATCCCAGTCGCTATATGGCTAACTTCCAGTTGAAGGAGTAGTTACCCATAAATACACCGAACAAGTCAAGTCACAGAAAAGATTCTGCTGCCTGCAATAACGTTCTGATCAGCGAGTTCCTAGTGAGTTAATTGACCCGTCTGAGGTCGCAAAGCCTGTGTTTTGCCGTATTATGTTGTTATTGGAGCAGTAATTAATAGCTAGAAATAGTTGTATTTTCTAAAAGATTCTGCTAGAAATTTTTTTCGTCTTACGGACTGTTTCATTCACCTTCAATCGGAACGAATTAATACCTCCTAAAAAAGAGAAGGTCTCAGTGCGGGTTACCGTAAATAAGAAATTTGATCCTTTAGTAGTCCAACGTATCATCAACGTATCCAACGATCCTTTAGTAGTCCAACGTAATGGCATCCTTCGTATTTTCCATCACTGCGCAACTTCGTAGCCCGAACGTAGTGACATCTATCTTATTTTTCATCCACTGCGCAGTTTGTGTTCGTTACGTCAGACTACTAAATTGATCTGTGCTGAGGCCGTCTTTCTTCTAAGAGGTGCTGAACGAACCTCAGTGCTCAGTACAATACTCTTCGATTCCATCCCTTTAATCAGACTAATTGTTTCCGAAACTACTGAAATATATCTTACAAGAGTTGTACTGCGTTTGATGAAATTAAAAAATTAAGCGTATGACACTTGAATTCATCAACATTTGTAATAACACTATCACATATGATAGAATTCCCAAACAGTTTAAAGATTCTATCTGTAAGGCTAGATGCCTGAACCACGTATACAATTAGCGGTGGTTCTTAAGTTTGAGCTATAGAATTTTGCGTTTTTTATCAGCATTATAAACCAAAATGAAAAGCAATTAAAATAAAAAGCTATTGGATCGAAAATTCAATTCTTAAAATCGATTATTTTAAAAATACGATTTGAATTCTTAGAAAATGTAAAGTTCTGAACGCGCACGAAAATTAAAAAAAAAAATCAGCACATCTGCGAGTGAATAATAGCTATCATTCTCTCTATAATAGTGAATAGCTAATACGAACCCTGTGAGAGAATAATAGCTATAATAACTAAAAAAGTAAGGTGCATGAAAAGTAAAAAAACGGTCAGATATCTCTAGAAATTTGTTTCAGGTTAAAAATCTTAAACACACGTGAAATATTTTTAAAAGATGCCTACAAGGGTATCACACTCAACTCCTGATACGAATTTTTTGCGATATTTGATTTTTTATCTACATTTTTGACACACTGTATACGTATGCGTGTTTTTATTTGTCATGCGACTAATAAATTCACAAAAACAGGACTGACGTTTTATCTTAGATTTCAAGCATAACTGACACACACAATAACAGAGAATGTCATAAGACACTTTTCAAAACAACAATTTAAATCAACTTCCCGACAAACCTAACATAATTTTTTTTATTTTTAAAACGAAGCACTTTAAAACTGTCCATTTAAACGTCATTTTTTCTTGAATAAAAAAGGGAGTTTGCAAGAACATAATTCGATTAGGAGAAAGTAGTTTACAAGATTCAACATCAAAATTTCTTCCTTTTTTTTCCTGGTAACCTTTCCACCGGGCGAATCAACTACTCCAATTTAATTATGACCACACGGGAAAAAGACGTCATAAAGTCGAACAGAAAAATAGAACCAAAAAAACACAGGAATGAGGAAAGAAACAAAAAAAAAAAAAAAAAAAAAAAAAAAAAAAAAAAAAAAAAAAAAAAANACATAGAGAGAAGAAAAGGGAGGAGCGGAGGAAAAGATGGACTTTTGGAAGAAAGAAAGAAATCGATCGTGACATCAATTCCAGAAAGATGATCTTCTTTTCATCTGTTCCGGGGAAAGAACATTACTCATCGCTCTGGAACTGGCGTGAGCAGAAAGCAGACCAATCCTTCCCATCCCCCTCCTTCCTCGAATCTTTTGATTTCTTTCCGTCACACGAAGTCATCTTATTCCTTTTTCACTTCGAAAAGTCACAACCCAAAAGTGAGACTACAACAACACCCGGCTCTTTTGAATTTCAAATGTGTTATCGAAAGGGACATTTGGAGGAAGACGTTTGTTGTTAACATTTGCAGCTGGAAGGATATCTATTGGATGTACACTGGACAATGGAACATCGAATATTCATCAGA